TCATGCTGTAAATAGACATTTTATTTGCATATTTTAATGACTTCAGTTTAGTTTTTGTTATGTACAATGGAATTGAAAAGATTTTTTAACCAATGCAGACAAAATGTACAAGACTCCCCAAAATGGCTACATAGAAAATCTACAACTGTTGGCCCTAGATAATACAAGGTCAAAGGGATGGCAACTGCAGACTTCAACTGTCTTGTACCATTTAAACACAGCCTAAGTCTGAATTACCATTTCCATGCAAAGTCAAGATTCAATCAATTTGTCACAGTACAGGGCTTGGGCTGCCTGCAGAATTACTTTTTCGAGAAAAAAAATCAAATCGTCAACATTGTAACCTAAACACTTAAGCTTTCCTTTTGAGCAGCACTTTAGAAAATTCCAACATGCAACTTCCTGCTGTTGTGTTATTTGCAGATCTGTCTTTTTTCTAAACTCACTTTTCTCATAAGACTGGGATCCGAACAGGTAAGCAGCTGTCTTCAAAGAAAATAAAAATAAATAAATAAATGACTAAAATAAATTAAAAGGTCACATAGGCCTTAACGTGGTGCAAGAAGCTCCCGTCATCTTTACCACTTTCAGCAGGTCCTTTTCGCATACCAAACTGATGCACCATTGCTCACAGCAACCTACAGTGACTTGAGGACAGGAAAAACTTTGCATTCTCTTCCCTGTAGGAGGATGGAGAAGGTGGGGAAACTAATTCCTAGGACAAAACAGGCAGGCCCTATGAGGAAGGAACATACTTGCCTCACCATCAGAAAGAATGCAACCTTCGAATTACAGAGCAGGTAACACTAATCCTTCTTCTTCTCGTAAACACAAGCAGAGAGGATGAATAGAGCTCAACAATGGAGAAGAACACAGAAATACAGTTCATTCAGACTTGGAGGCATTTATGGTTTCAGGCAGATTGACGTGTGAGTCTGGATCTCAAGCAGGAACATAGGGCAAGTCGGCTGCCTGTGTCTTCACTGTTCACGGTGGACTCTAGGCCAAAGGCCTCTCACAGATGACCTCGGTGAGTCAGCCAGCCAGCCAGCCACTTTCTTTTGCAAATAATCAACACAGGTGGGAGGAGAAGGTATTTGAATTTCCACTCCTGGAAACTACCAGTCATTTTATCTCTTCCCAGCACCCTTGCATTGACACTCTCTCTCTGATCACAGTTACATAAGTGCCCAAAGCTGCGGAAATCTCTTTTCAGTGCCAGAAGATGGGAAAGGGCAGTACAGCCTATCGAAATAGTGAAATCAGTTGGTCAACTGTCACATGCCACTGTGACAACAGGTAACTAACTAACATTAAACAAGTGTACTTGGAACAACTAATGTAATAAAGTTACTACAATTTACAGCTTACAATGTCCTAAAAGCAATTTCGGCTCAAAACATAGCTAGCAATATGTGCTAAAACCAATCACAGAACTTTAAGTTTTCAAAAATTTCAGTAATCTAAATTCAAGCCTACAGACCTGAAAGAATAATGAATATTTGTTAGGCTTCAAAAGGAAACCAAAATTAACATACTAAGAAACATACTGTCCACAAATCGCAATTTACTGTGAGGAATGCACACACAAAAACAAATCTAGCAGCTCATACTACCAGTCATTTCAAATGGCAACAAAACATCATACCAAGATACATAATATTTTTGTGTAAACATGTAAAACGTAAAAATATTCTTCTTTCACAGTAACCTGGAAGAGTAAAAGAACTGTCAGGAAAAAAAAAAAAGCAATATATCCCCTATAGCTCTTTTTTGCTGCTGCTATGAAGAATAAGCTTCGAATGCAAGTCTTTCGCACAGTGAAGATGTTTCATTATATTTGGAAAAATGCCATCCAGCATATGCACGTGCTATTGAAAGGTCACGCTTACTACAACTCGCCTTCTAAACCTTGTGTCTACTCTAGCACACTACGAAACACAACATTTTTGAAGTGCCTTCTACCCCATAATTGATCATGTATAAAAGGAGCTGATACACTGAACTTGGTGTAACACTTGTTTCAATAAACAGAAAGTAAATGACATGCAAATTTCCTAACTGCAAGTACGGGGTAGGGTTAACAAGCACAAGAATGCTCCACTATGCAAAGGCCATGCAAATATCTGGGAAAGGTTTTAACCTTGGACCATTCAGTATGCAAAATGCGTGGAGATAACTATGAGGGATTTGAACCTGGGAACACTGCTTGTCACGGCGCCTTTATTTTGTGCACATTGTGGTGTTTTTTATACCTATAACATCTGCACTCCTGACAAAACAAACTACTATGTGAGTCAAACCATTAGGCAAATTATTAAAAATGCTTTTTAAAAAAATCAAATAAAAATAAAGGAGGACCTATTTATATAACACATTGTCTGTTTGCATATGAACATAAGTTTGCATGGGTTGAGTCAAATGGAAACAATCAGAAAGGAGAGTTATTCCACGAGAATGTATTTATGCTGACATCAAGAGACAGGTTTGTCAGACTGCTTTTAATAAACAGATGTTTTACTAAAATGAAGTATGTGTAATATCACCTCCTGATGTCCTTGTAAGCTAGGCAACTTGGGCACACAAACCAAAGAGAAAAAACAGTACAAGACAGCCTAAGAAAAGGCACACAAAAAAAGACAAAAAAAACAGTACAAGACAGCCTAAGAAAAAAAACTATTTCCAAAATTCTGTGCAAGTCTCCAACAAAAAGGCTTAGTGCTGCACAAGTAGCATTGTAGAGTTGACAAAACTCTACAATTCAGAAAATGAATCATTTTCTGAAGTAGTGCAACTTTTTAGATAAAGTAAAAATATCTATAAAAATGGTTTCAGTCACCAATTTTCTTTATTATGCATTTAGTATCAGAGTGCTTATATATTCATGAGACTCAACATATATGAACACTCTCCGCTTCAAAAAAAAGGAGACAGCTGCCACCCTATGGTTATTAAAGCAGTGGATTTAGTTTAATTAGCTCTCTGTATCCAAAAAGCTTGTTTTAGAAATGCAGATGGTGATTTCTAATTCTTCCTTACTGCTCCCTATTCTCATCTTCATCAGTATGATACAGTTGCCTGCCACTGTCATTAACTCAATCTCAAAAAACTGGCAGTACTAATGTTTAGCATTTAAGAGAAGAAAGAAAATGTATTAAATAAAACTTAAAATTTGCGGAACTATGAAATCTTAAAATTCAAAAAGATTTGTATACAAATCATCTGGAACAAATACAAACTTAAGAAGCCATGCATTTTCTATTGAAGGTTTCTTACACATCTCAAATTCACTTTATGTTTGTCTGCTCCCGTAACACGGGTTTTCTGTCACTGCTGACTTTTGTTTTGCCAAAATGAGTTATGCAGTCAATGCTATTAAGCTATAAATAATGTAGGCTGCAAGTGTATAGCTGTTTTTAAACTGATGACCTACTTTTAGTCACTGGTGTAAAGATCATGAAAGCTAATATGAAGCATGTTATGGTGAAGTTTCAGTGCAGAGGCAAATACTGGCCTCTGGAAAAATGCACTGGACTGTAAAGCTCTTAAGCAAAGCTGGTACTTAACTGTCCTGTAACATACGACTCAAAGAGCCTCCTCTTCCTGCGTCCCCCTTCATTGCATTTTTGCACTGCTCTTGCTAGCCACCTGCAATCCAGAACTCAAGCACCTCATCTTTAATCATCTTGTTGCTAATGAGTGCTGTCACAAAATAAAGTAAAATTAATTTGTTTTCAGGATGCCGTAGGCATACACTGTGTTTGTCTACCTATTACTGACTACCAAATAGTTATGAACACCCATATAGCTTTTCTTAGTTTATTGCAAACACACTTGATGTGTGCAGAACTGTTTGGGTTTGTTTGTGCTTGTTTTTTTTCTAAACAGCTTCCAGTCCCGACCTCCACAAAACTAATTAAGTTTTGAACATTTTTCATTCTTCTTATTTGATAACCAAGAGTCCCAAGAATCAAAACCCTATGGTGCTTCACACAAAATTTGGTCATGTCACAGTAAGAAAAGCCTAAATAGTGCCTTCAAACACACACAAAATTTTCAATATACTTTCAGTCACCCACACCCACCTGTACCTGGATACTTTCCTGATATGAGGCATGAGATGTGTAAAAGAAAACACTCCTGAATAAATTGCCTGCTATGCACTTTCAAACAAATATTTAAAATAAGTAAAAGAAAGCCTTCACCTGTCAGTCACTACTAAATCACGTACTGAAAAGACAACAATATTCTCACAAAAGTCCTAGAAGTAGCAAGCAAGATTGGTTTAGCCCTCAGCTTTCCCTATGAGCAGTAACTATATTTACAAAAAATAGGATTTAGAATTAAAAAAAAAATACTGCTGTCATTAAAGTTGCCAGAAAGAATGGTTTATCTTAGTTTTCTCAATATATTTTAGCAATCTGGACTCACTCAGCAGCACCAGGTCAGAAAGCAGTCACAAAAACTGCCATCCTATAGCTGCCCCAGTCACCAAGCAGCGTAGGCAACGATGAACGCAAGGTTAAGTGGACACTCCTGTTTAGAGGAGTGAGGGCTCGCTCCTAAGCCACTACACCACATTTCTGCCCTCTTCAGCTCTTTTTACTTCACAAGAAGGTACCTTGCCCTCAAAGGAGCCTTTTTCATCATTGTTGAAAGCTGGCTGGATTTCCTAACATTTCTGCAGCGAATCTGTCTCGCTATGAATAACCAGGAGACTGAAATCCTTTAGTATGAGGAAATATATTTGTCCACTAAATGAGATACATTTGTGAAAAAAACCTAAGGTAAAAAGAATAGTTTCCATTATAACAGTATGAATAGAAGCCTGTTTCTTTAGTCCAGCAGCTCGCTAAGTGGAAACCCTATCACTTATTAAGAAACTGGAGTAAATCCAACGTCCATTCTAACATCAAGTGCAAAGGCAACGTCAAGCCAGGAGTAAAACCTTGGAGGTAACTGCAGAGCCCCGCTCCCGAGTTCCTGAGGGTTCCTCTCACCTCAGCGCCATCCGCAAAGAGGAGCTGGAGCAAAGCTGGATTCCTGGCCATGGAGCTGCACGCCAGTGGTGACAGCGGGGGCACGGGCTCAGCCAGGGCGCCATCGTGTCACAGTTTGAGCCACTGCCTTTTAAACACGTTTGTGGCCGGCAAATGCCGCATATTCCTGTAGCTCAGCTTCCACCGGGAAGCCATTAAACCAAGGTAACTCTAGCAGACATTTTGGTTCAGAACTGCCCAGTAGATCAGATGGCAGAATAAGCACTCCAGGCAAATTACTACCGCGTTTGCAACATGGCACTGTTAGTTTGTAATTCCCGTCTTACTAAAAAAAAAAATCTTAATATGCTTCCCTTTCAATGCAGTGTTAGCATATTTCATGTGTAACAAAATTGAAGCTCCACAAAACAGTTATCTTCTATCTGGGAAAAAAATACAACTACTAAAAAAAAATTATTTTGCTGAAATTTTACTTCACAAAAAAAAAGCAAAAATTATCCTTACAGTGTCAGAAATGCTCCTTTTCTCCCCGCTTTCTAAAGGAAGCATTTTCTTTCCCCTTTATGTCATAGGCAGTATAAAATGTTCAAGATATCTTCATCAAATGTATGTGGAAGGGTTTCAACTTACTATTTTATTTTGAAGAATTTTTCTTTCTACATTCTTTTCAATTGGAATGATCAACGTGGCTATCTCCAATTCCAGTCTGAACATACTGATAATTTGATGCAACATGTGAGGCAACAAGTTGCAGAACAAGCTGCTTCCAGACCCTACAGGTAATTCAGGAGATGTGAAGACTTTTATCCTGCTTAAAAACTTCATTTTAGTATCTAGTACTCCAGATCGTTCTGCTATTTATGAACCTACAATTCATTCCTGAGTCTTTAGGCTGCAAGACACCTGAAACAATGAATGTCATGAACTCAGTTTGCAGAACATACAAAAAAGTTCTATTTTACATGTTAGCTCCTCATCTTTCAATCTTAGCTGCTTGTCATAAAACAGGATAACATTTCTTTCAATGTTTCTACAGTAGTATGAGGGGAAAACCTCATATTGAGCATTTTGTCACTGAGCAGTCTCTACAGCTAACCACCTCCTTTTCCCAGCTTCCTTCATTATCTGTGTCTACCTAGGAACTGCCCAGCAATAACAAGGAGACACACACACACAAAGTAATAAGAAGAATTGGACCTTCCAATGCCAAAAAGACTAAATCACCCCTCACCAAAAGTGAGCCAAGCCACATGTACTAACCTGCAACAGGACGGAAGGAAGCAAACTACAAAGGCAAGTAACTAGGCACAAACTGCCATACTGCTAAAACACAACAACAACTCTTTTAAAAAAATAATTATTTTAAAAGCTTCAAACTTCAGGTATTTTACTGAGAATTTAGCTACAGCAAACTAAAATGCAACTATTCCTGAGCGCCCCGCAGCAGAAGACGCCCGTTCCCACAGCAAGCGCCCAGCCATGCAACGGGGCAGCTGGCGGGCACGGAGGGCAAGCAGGGGCCAGCAACGCTCCCGCTGTCACTGCCTGGTGGTTGGGTGCTTTAACCACGAAGAAAGGGCACGTTTTTACCAGGTTGCCTCAGGGTTTATTAGTCCAGAGGAAAATAAACCAAGTCAAACTCTCCCTCGTGGTTAGAGGACCTTGCAGGATAAACCCTGCGGGGAGCTACAGTTTTGTTGAATAACAAAGAATTTGGCAAATAATGGCAAATAAAAATTATTCGCTTACAACAGAATAAATGGTGGACCTTTTTATTTTAGGTGCAAAACTTGTACTACTTTAGAATTGAATGGACTTAGCGCAGCAACATAAAACTGTTTTGTGCCAACCTCCTGAAAGCAAGTATCCACACTAAAATTTGTAATGTAAACACTTAACACATTTGGAATTACTGAGGATATTGGCTATTCAGCAATGAAAACATTTGCCCTTTTACTTGACATAAACAGAGGAAACCCAGCCAGCCAGAAAATCCCAAGATCTGCACATCTCCAAGAACATTAAACACTTCAAAAATCATGGAATAGGCAGAATTTATTCAGTCATGAATAACTTCGGCAGTTTAACACTACTGAAAATTTTGAAATATAATGCAATAAGTCTAAGAAATATCTAACCAAATTTTCAACCAGACTGGCCTTTACGTGATTAATCTTTAAGAAAATGTGCTCAATTCAAGCAGCAAAAGCCTTAAAGTGGAAAATATAGAACAAAAAAATCATAAGAGAACAGTTGTCCTCTGATTTTGAGCCATTTGTTATTTAGCTATTCAACAGTAAAGTTCAGACAACATGCTCTAAAAATGAACTTTCCAAAATAATAAGTTCCTCCAATGCTGCTTCATTATTTAAGTAATGGTATCTTTCAAACTAAGGAGGTTAATTTATTATACATTTATGAAAATCACATTTAATCCTTCGCATAGAATTGTTATAGAAAGACTCCCCACTAAGCTGCCTAAGGCATTAACTGGAAATAAGCAAATCCTGTGGCATAATCTAGGGTTTGGCACATAATTGATAAAAACTGCAATTTCAAAAGACACTTGTCATATATTATATACGAAGACATGAGTACAAGCTTTAAAACTGAAGTCTCTTCTTCTAAACAGCAATGCTCAGCTCCTGCAATAACTGCCAGTTCTCAGTAAGATCCCAGACCTCAAGAAAATTTATCAGTACTACACTGGGGGTTTTTTTGTGGATATTTTAAATGTTGTTGTTATTATTATTATTTAGTTTTGGATTCCAGTAAGGGCGGGCTTGTGTGGCTTGCCTTTTTTTTGATTTTTAAATTGGAGCTGATACCAGCCAGAGTAAGAACTTGACACACATGTCACTAAGAGTTAGCAATAAAACATAAGATGTGCATAGATTTTACCCGCAAAATGCCTAGCAATCTATAGTTTCATCATTGAAAGAAACCCCACTGCAAGAGCACTGAACAAGGCTTTTTTTTTTCCTGTCTTTTAGTTACTATTCCAGAAAAACAGAAATTGATTACTGATATCACAACCTGCCCACAATGCAGCCCATAGGTTTCAAAGCATTCAAAAGAATACCCCCAAAATCATGGAGCTTCCTGCATACGGGCCTTAGGAGCTCACACAAGGCTAGACACTTTATATATCCATCAGATACATCTAATCTAACTATATCAGCACAGGGTCCTGACTTTGTGACACTGCCATAGCCCTGCAGCAGGGCAAGTGTGTGCAAGGCACACGTCTCATTTAAGCTCTCACACCTCACAATGTTATGTCTGATACTATTGTTAAGTACTTAGGTATTACTTTCTAATTACAAACTATAAAACTGCATTTCAGAATATAGAGCTATGTCACCTGTCTTTAAAGCGAGGTGCAGAATAATCTATTTAAAAAGGACCAGAAGGGAATTCGCAAAGTAAATAACTGACTTCTCTCCACTGCGGGTTTAGTGTCAAACACTTAAAGCACTTTTAAATCATTATCCAAGCACTGTTCAGAATTAAATTACAAATGTGACATATGGCATGAAATGAAAGATCCGCACCACAGACCTGTCGTTACCGTTAAAAAAAAACTGTATCACTCAATTTTAGTACATCAGTTATGCCACAAAATTATATAATAGTTTCTGCCTTATAGAGGTGGTAGGCTCTGAAAAAGGAGCATCCAAAGGTATGGCTTTGGACATCAGGCAGCTCACTAACAGTTTAAGTGAAGTCCCTGTGTGCCCGCTGCAGAACTGCACTGGTCCTCTCACTTCAGCAGTCCACAAAATTCTTCAAGTTTATACTAAAAACTCAAGTTGTGCCACCATGAAGAAAAAAAAAGTGTCTCTCTGACAATTAGTACCTCCTTTAAATCCCAGTATAAATGGAAACTGAAAGCCTGTAATTTGGAACATGACTAAAGGGAAGCTACAACCACACATTCTCATTGCCTGATCACTTTTGTTCTTCTATTTTGTTCTTCATCCTGTACTAGACACATGCCACTTGCATCGGACACATGGACATCAAAATCACCTGGAACGTCAGTCTGCTTCGAAGTGAAGAGGACTTTTCAGTTTGATGATCATTCCTCCTTTAAGTCGTCTTTCCATGCATAAAAGCTACTTTAGTCTATCTACTTCATTAAAAAAGTCAAGGGATTACATTTTGTCATGCATTTCAGATAGCACTTTTGCAAGTCAACAGAAATAAAAGATGACTCAAAATGGGAAAGAATATGAAAAAGAAAAAAAAGTGCAGTCCTAATGATTGTTTCCCCATGGATTTTCGTTCCCCTCTGTTCGCAGACCTCTCCAGCAGGCAGTTCAGACACGAGCATGTGGCTCTCCTCCAGAGAGTTCATCTTTAGGACAACTTACACTATCACATCATCCCAGATAAACAGAAGCGAGCGCAAGCAAAGCTTTCCACTTATTTGGAAGTGGTTTTCAATGGAAAGTGAATTAATCAGCTGTAAAAACAAAACAAAAAAAAAATCAACTCTTCACATTTTGATTAAGGTTTTATTACTTGGAGCAACCAATCTCAGAACAACTGAAGAAACATTTCATGCGCTGAAGAAAGAGCAAAGAGAACGCTGAATGCAACTTAATCTTTGAACTGTTTGGAGGTCTCAGACAGATTAAATAATGCCTAGAAAGGTTATCTTTATTGCTTTGATTGAAAAAAACATTCAAACAAAAGAACAAAACACATAAGCTTGAGCACAGATTTGGGACTAATACGTTAATTTTCAGATATTTTCTTTCAAAACATTAAAAGAACGCAATATTATTAGGATAGATGTGTTCAAAATTTAAACAAGTGTCTAATGCATGCTGTGGCAGGTAAATAGACTTTCGAACTCACCAATAAGATTTCAATTAAATAATATAAGGCAATGAAAAGTAAAATTATAGTGAAAGAAATACTAGAAGATACATGCAGTAAAAGCAGGCACAATCTGTAAAATACAGATTGCAAATGCTTAATATAAGTCAACCAAATTGTTTCAAATTAAATCATTATTACTAATTAAAACAGTAAAACATCCATAAATATTTATATGTCATTAATGCAGAATCTAAAGAATTTAAAGATGTTTTTT